GGTCTAGAACATTCATTGGTTCAAGCCACTAAAATTAAGGAACAAGATCCAGGGAGGTCCATTAATTTCAGCGGGTGTTCTCTGAGCAAAACTTAAGTTGATTACCACAATACGTGAAGGTGCTTTTTGTATTTTGTTACCCAGAATACCTGTGTTGTTTCTGCTGTATTCATGATGAAAGCTGTGGTTACTGTAAGTAAAACATTTTAACTTACTAAAGGTTGTAGTCTATTCACTCCGAGAGGGATAGAGGAGGGGGAAGAATTGTAAGCGCTTAATACTGGGACATTGTACACAGAATCTGGCGACCATCCAGGTCATCTTCTGATCTTTGCCTAACAGCAAAAGGTCAATTTTTTTCTTTTGCGGGAGGTCGGGGAGCCTCACCAGTAGGGGATCAATGATCCCACTACATGCCTCTTCATAAAAGGGACATCTAAAGAACAAGTGTTCTGGGCTTCCTATCTCTCCCAATGGACAGGTGCAAAGTCTCTGAGCATAGGGGACTTTTCTAAAGGCTCCATCCAGGACCGGCGAGGGAAGAGCCGAGCTTCTGGTGAGTGTAAAGGCCCTTCTTGCATTTCTAGATACGAGAAAGAAGAGATATGCTGCCGGTGCAGCTATACATCTCTCGATTTCTCCAATTTTATAGTCGGGGCTCCTTGCGCAGTCCTGTTGTCTCTCGGTGTCTAATATTCTTTGCCTGACCGTAGCTTTTGCCAGGCCCAAGCCTAGACTTAGAAGGGCTTGAGGGGCAAAACCCAGTTTCCGGAGGGTGTTCAGGACTGCAGTCTGCCAGCCTGACTGGAATTGGTCGCAGAGGATCAATGGGGCTATCCCTCGGGGGAGCAGATTCAATATCAGCCATTTGTAGATTAATGTTAGGCAGATGCTAGCCTCCACTCTCATTATCATATGGTTTTGTTTTTGTTTGTTTGTTTTATCCTGGTCTGTGACCGTAATAAAGTTCATTCATACTGGGACATTTAAAGGTGTAACAATCTATATTCCCCGTGCTTTGCAAATACTGCATAGATTTGTGTTTTAAACTCTGCTGGGGGCTATTTCGGCTAAAGAGTGAATCATACACTTTTTGAATTCAGGCAGTCAGCCGTTTTTTCTCTGTGATTCCCCAGCACTTCACAATTACTGGTGCTCCCCAGTTATTTATTTCCCAACACTCTGCCCTGCTCATAAGACACCAAGGGGCAATTATACCCCTCCATCTACAAATTCATAACTTGTTTCCTACAAAACCCAGGGCTACAAAATTTCATGCTTACCCTCCGGTCAGAGGATCCAAGGGCCAAATATCTACTGGACCGCTTCTCCTTCTCGTAATGACTGCCCCTTCCCCGGGCTTCGTGCCCCCAATGATGAAGTAGACGTTTGTTATAATTGGTGTCTTGGACAGCATGAGAGCGGCAGCCTCAAAGTTCTCAGCTTCACTCAAAACCTGCAGCAAAGCAGAAACAAGAGTGGGCATTTTGGACTGTTATGTACTGAGCTGAATAGGATCCAAATGCAGCAGTCTGATTAGTCCTAGAACAATAGGATTCAGAATGCAGCAGTCTGATTGGTCCTAGAACAATGCAGCAGTATGATTGGTCCGCAGGAGCCACCCAATCCAGCTCCAGGTGGAAGTGAATCCGCAACCTGATTGGCCTACAGGAGAATCCAGGAATTAGCCAATCACATGCGGCCCATTGTGTAAATAATGTATATAAAGCAGATATTTTGGGGGAACTTTCATTCCTCCTCACCACTATGAGCTGAATAAAGAGCATGAAATCCACACTCAACTCTGAGTATATTTCATGGACTGTGAGGTCCACACCATGAGGGGGCTCCTGTACCTTTAAGGGTTGCATAAAAGGCACAGCTTTTCCCATCGCACAGCTGTAGAGCTGGGAGAAGTCACAGAAGCCCCACTTTGGGTCTGGAGCTGGCAAACCTGCAAACATTTATCACACTGCATTACCTACAAGGCTCCAGAACTAACCGAGTTGCTGCTTATCAGAATCCTGAAAACCTGAATTCCCATTTTAAGGAAGCAACCTTCTAGTCCTCATATTTCACAGAATCATAGAAGAGACCTCTGTGCAATGCAGGAATCTCGACTAAAGTATCCTTGACAGGTGGGCATCCGATATCTGCTTAAAAGCCTCCAAGGAAGGAAAGTTTGCAGAGCTAAGCTGAAAAGCACCAAGGGCAGAGTGCCTGAAACAGCTGGCAAGCAAAACAAGCCTCGGAATGATGTTTGTTTTTAACTGGCACATTTAGCAACCTGAAACAGGTTTCAACAGAGGATGCAAAGATTGTTGTTTAAGTTCTGTGCTGATGAAAAGTGACTTCAAAGCTGAATGTCATGACATCTGAAAGAAATTTACTTTTGCTGCAATGGTTTGAGTTCTGTCAAGAAAACCGAGTGTTGTTGGTCTTGAACCGCATATTTTTAAGGACCCCACCCTCTATTCTTGCAATGGTGGTTTCTTTTAAACTGTTTTAAATGTTGCATTTTAAAGTGTTGGGACCTCCCCTGGGGCCTCAAGGTGAAGGACAGGTAATAAAGAAAGATGCCTTAAGTCCCTGTCAAGGAAAAAGGTGGGGTATAAATAAATAAATTAAGATTAAATCATAATAAAATAATAATAATAATAATAGATTTGGCGGGCACCATGCTGGCTTCTCCTGCTCTCGGAAAAAAACCAAAACGAAATCATCTGTCACAGGAAGCACGGTAAATATCTTAATAAATAAGAGAAATAAACTAAATGCACATTTCTCCCATTTGTAATAGCCCCCTCCACCCAAAAAAACCACCCTTGCAAATTCTTAGATGTACTGGGCAGGGACCATTCTTTTTCTGTGCTACACAAATTATAACATTTCTGAACCTTCACCACCCCTAGAACTATTTTACAAAGCAATGTTATCTGTTCAATCGTAAAAAGAGAGAGGAAATATTAATTAACACTTGGATTTTCAGCAACTTGGTGGTGGTTGTTGTTGTTTAGTCGTTTAGTCGTGTCCGACTCTTCGTGACCCCATGGACCAGAGCACGCCAGGCACTCCTGTCTTCCACTGCCTCCCGCAGTTTGGTCAGGCTCATGTTTGTAGCTTCGAGAACACTATCCAACCATCTCATCCTCTGTCGTCCCCTTCTCCTTGTGCCCTCCATCTTTCCCAACATCAGGGTCTTTTCCAGGGAGTCTTCTCTTCTCATGAGGTGGCCAAAGTATTGGAGCCTCAACTTCACGATCTGTCCTTCCAGTGAGCACTCAGGTCTGATTTCCTTAAGAATGGATGCGTTTGATCTTCTTGCAGTCCATGGGACTCTCAAGAGTCTCCTCCAGCACCACAATTCAAAAGCATCAATTCTTCGGCAATCAGCCTTCTTTATGGTCCAGCTCTCACTTCCATACATCACTACTGGGAAAACCATAGTTTTTACTATACGGACCTTTGTTGGTAAGGTGATGTCTCTACTTTTTAAGATGTTGTCTAGATTTGCCATTGCCTTTCTCCCAAGGAGCAG